AGGTAGAAAAAGGCACCTCCCAAAACAGCGCCCTTACTGCTCTGGCAAATCAGAAAAGAGCACTCACTCCAGATCTGAGCCCCACCCCCTTGGCCTCTTGGCCAGGCTCTCTGGTGCAACACACAACATGCACAACCACCCAGGGCAGCCAAGGTCACCCGGCGCTCCCTGAAGGCAGAAGCCAACGAGGAAGGCTGGGGCCGGCTTGGGGAGCCAGGAGTCTGTGGATGAGACAGAGCCCATGCGGATCGCCATGGTGGCCCTGGGTCCCAAGTCCCACTCACCAACCCTCCCTCCAGAGAAGCCATGCCACATCTGACTACACCTGGTGTAGCTGGGAGACCTTTGGAATGTTTCATTTAAATTGCAGTGTAGGAGCACCTGGGTGGCTCAGTTGGTTAAGCATCCAAGTCTTGATCTCAAGGTTATAAGTTCAAGCCCCACACTGGGCTCCATGCTGGGTGTGGTGCTCACTTAAAAAAAGAAGAAGAAGGAGAAGAAGGAGTTGCAGTATAAGTGTGAGGCCAGGGTCTAAAACAACCAAGCAACGACTCAAGTCTTCTGGAGTATAATTTTTCTGCAACTGCTAAGTTTACTTTTAGTTAAGTCCAGTGGCTTTGCCTGTGGGATATATGGCCTAACACCCCTGCCGACTCTCAGAATCTGATCGGTAAATAAACTCCATTGTAATTTGAGGAAAACCATGACCCTTTTTATTGACCTTTCACACTGAAATAGTAAATGGTACTGTGAGGACACTAAGAGCACCTCACTGAACAGACCATCAGCAAGAGGCGAGCTCGCCCTTTCCAAGCCTCCTCTGCCCTCTGAGATTGGAATTTGGGAGGATGCACTCGGAAATGATTTTTTCTCCCAGTAATGACAACGTTCAGTACCACATAAGAAATGAAAATGAAGTATTGATCTTATTCTTCAAGTATAGGATAGCTTCAATATTAAAATTAACATATAAATTTAGCATCCATCTTATTTTCAACTCACTTCTGCTGAGTAAATGTGCATATAAAGAATGAATGACTGAAACAGTATGCCCTGAAATCATGTCCATTTTTCAAATATGTCAGATCAAAGGCAATCAGCGCCTGTTTTCTGGGCACCCAACAAATGTTCCCTGGATGTCCCCCTTCCTATCACCTCCCATCAACCTAGCCACAGGGCAACCTGGGGACCTTGGACGATGAGTCCCTTAAAGAGCAGACCCCATGATACATGACTGCTCCCACTGCATACCTCCTCCTCTGGTCCAATTTCTTTCTGTAAATGTTAAATGTTCTTAGGCTCTTAGAAGCCTGCTAGCTAACGGCCACAGCCTGGACCAGGGGCTCAGAATCCCTGCCCCTTCTTCCTGGTCCCTGTCACCTCTCCAGTCACTCTGCTATTAACTTCAACCACAGCCATGTACCTGGCTAAGAAATGCCTTGCTTCTCAAAACATCTGTGCAACTCCTCTTGCTTTTCCCATCAAGAGCATTGATATTTCACAGGAAGACATCACCTCACACCTGTTAGAATGGCTATTATCAAAAAGAGAAGAGAAACTAAATGCCGGCAAGAATGAGGAGAAGAGGGAGCGCCTGGGTGGCTCAGTCGGTGAAGCGTCTGCCTTCGGCTCAGGTCATGATCTTGGGGTGCCGGGATCGAGCCCCGCGTCAGTCTCCCTCTCGCTCTGCCCCTCCCCCTGCTTGCGCTTGCACTCTCTCTCCCTCAAATAAATAAGATCTTTTGAAAAAACAAAACTACATTTTTAAAAAAGAGAGCGCTTGGGCAATATTGATGAGAATGTAAACTGGTGCAGCCTCTATGGAAAACAGTATGGAAATTCCTCAAAAAACTAGAAACAGACAATCATGGAACACTGCATCAAAAACTAATGATGTAATGTATGGTGGTTAACAATAAAAAAATTATTAAAAAAAAAAACAAAACTAGAAACAGAAATACTCTATGATCCAACAATGCCACTTGTGGGTATATTTCTGAAGAAAATGAAATCAATATCTCAAAGAGGTATCTCTACCCTATGTTGGCTGGAGCATTATTCACAATAGCCAAGACATGGAAACAACTTAAGTGTCCATCAACAGACCAAGAGAGAAAGCAAATGTCACATACTAAGTGAAATAAGCCAGTCACAAAAAGTACTGTGTGATCTCACTTCTACATGGAATCTAAAAAAGCCAAATGCACAGAAACAGACTGGAATCACGCTTGCCAGGGGATTGGTTGGGGGGGGATGGGAGAAATGGGGAGATGTGGGTCAAAGGACACAAACTTATAGTCATAAGATATTCTGGATATCCAATGTACTGCCTGGTGGTTACATCTAACAATACTACACCGTATGCTCGAAAGTTACTAAGAGAACAGATGGTAAATGTTCTCACCACACACACACACATACACACACACGTAATTATGTGAGGCGATGGATGTGTTAACTAACCTTACGGTGGAAATCATTTTGCAATATATACACCTATCAAATCGTCACCTCCTACATCTTAAACTTACACAATATTCTATGTCGATTATATATCAGTAAAATTAGGAGGGGGGAAGGGAATTATTGATGTGTCTTAAAGCTCCAGCCCCAGAGCAAAAACTACTTCCAGGTGTCACTAGTAAACTTGGAATCACGCACACCTTAAGGGTCAGCAGCACTGAAAAATCTCGGGAGCTTTAAATGGCATTCCCTTTGAGGGTAAGGGGAGCACATTTATGCTAAGATCAGGTGCTGTGCCAATCAAAGGTTTCCCAAAAACAGGCACTTCTGATCTCAAATGTGTACTCGATTCAAACGTTAACGTTGCCTCTAAAGTTACGTGAACTACGTCGAGGGCAGGAGCAGAGGACATAGGCATTTAAACCTCTCCCTCGGCTCCTTTACTGGGCATAGGTCTAAGATGAAAACCCAAGGACGTGATGTGTTCCAATCTTAGTGAGTTTAAGAGTCACCTGCTGAGGACGATAAAAACGGAGGTGTTGAGGCTCTCCGAGATTCTGAGCTCAGCAAGCAGGGCTCAGGAATCCAAACTAGAAAGGGAAGCGCTGGGGTGCGCGGATCACACTTGGAGACAAACCGCTGTAGAACATGACTGACCCGCCCCCACTCACATAGTAGATGAACAAAGCATTTAAGCGAGCAATTGGCAGGTCCTCACTAGAAGGGGAGAGAGGCGCCCCGGTCTCACATGGATTAACTTTCCATAAGGCTGGCTTGCCCCAGCTGCAAGTGACCCGCCAAGCACCCTGTTACTTGTCTGACAGATGGGATTTAGCCAGAAGGAGTTGGCTGATTTCTTCTCTTTTATGTGAGTAACTGAGCGCCCGTGGGCTACACGTCAAAGCAGGATGGTCTTTGAGAGCTGACCTCAAATCTAAGAGAGGGCTCAGACCATAGGACAGCAGAGGAAGCAAAACTGACTGCTGGACGAAGGACATAGGATCTGAACCAACTTCTCCCATCTGACCCCAGACCACACTTACCACCCCCCCCTTAAAATAAATATATCCTGCTTCAGAAGATTACATTGAGGATCAAACATACCCGCACTAGCCTAGGAGTTCGCTGCCTTACAGATAAGTCCATGTTGCTGGCCGTTGTCACAAGGAGTCCATGAGTTTGGTGATCTGTGGGCGGGGGTGGGGGGAGGATCATGCTGTAAAGACACTGCATCTTAGGGCGAGTGTTGCTCAATCCGGGTCGTTCAGCCTGAAGTAGTAACAGCTAAAGACAGATTTCGTAGCGCCACGGGCTCACAGGGGATCTGCTACCACTGTTGCTTGTTAAATGATTGCAGATAAGCTTCTGAGACAAACATACCTTGGGAAATACATTTGTCCTAGGTAGGCCCAGACATTAGCCCATCACTACCACACAAAATGTCCCAGACATGGGTCTTTAGAAACAGGGGTCCAATTATTTTCTTCTACATTCCCTCGCTTTCTTCCCTGACATATATGCTAATGTCAAAATACAATCCTAACAACAATAGTATTTACTTTTAAACTCCCTGGTAGGTACCTATGTGCATGAAATACGTATTAGTCCAAATAATATAAAGAATTTTTTCCCATCAAAGATTCTCATTCCCAAAGTGTCCTATAGAAATAAAGATGAGATTTTTAAGTGTTTTTTTTTTATTATCCCCCTGGGACCCATCCCAAGAGTGGCTGGCAGCTGATAGGAGCTCCTGTCCCTCAGCTGAGGGAGTATCTCAGGCCAAGGGGATTTGCCCTTCTCCCTTCCAGACTGAAGAGCCCTTCCAGACTTATTCTCATATTGGGAGCTCTTTCTGCATCCTCGTCATGCAGAGGCTTTTACTTATTTGCTTACTTACTTCCCCTCTCACTTTGTAAGTTTATTGTCTGACTTAAGCAGTCATCTTTGCTTTCAAGCGCTTTGAAGAATGGACACAACAAGAGAAGTGGTTAGTGTGGGCACCACTGAATATTATTATTTGAAAACTCTCTTTTTAAAATATCTGAGCAAGAATGCAAAAGCTAGTGAGCTTAATTAAAAGCAATCATAGCTCTCATATATCAAGGGCTTTCTCTATGTCAGGTACAGTGCTAAGTACTTTACTTACTCCTCACGTTGTAAATTGTTTCGTTACTTTATTCTTTAATGGGACTCTCCATTATCATCCCTGCTTATCTTGAACTCGTGGACAGGTGACTTGGATAATAGCAGACAAAAAGCATTCTCTTACACATTCTCTTACACATAGGCACTCACTACATATCTGCTGAACAATTAAATGAATGAGTGGAGGGACTGAACTGAGCTCTATTCTTAAAAAATAAATTCCCAGTCTTTCTGAATGAAGCCCCCAAACTTTGCCATTCATTTTTCTCAAGGAATGTCCCATTCCACTGATCCCTTGATTCCTCATCCGTGCGCTAGGAAGTAGCTTTCACATCAAGCTTCTCTCTTTAGGGATCCTCTTGCCACAAGTAGAAATGACATAAACGAAGATGGTCTCCTTAGTTTATTTTTTTTTTCTAGAGTCCTCAGCATGCTACATTAACCTGACAAAGCTTAATCTTGTGTTCATTTCACAATACATTTCATGCAGTTCACAGCTGTGATTGATTTACATTGACATCACGCATGTTTCAATTCAGCCCTGTGAGAAGAAGAATTCTTAATGGAGTTTGTCTCTGAAAACTGTCCAAGCTTAAAAAGCATGTGAGTGGTTCACTCTATTCCTAAGTGCAGTCTCTCTCTAAAATGCAAGAAGGATTTTTAGCATAAGAATATAAGGTCCCTGTTTATAGTCCATTTGCAACCGAACCACTTGCTTTAGTTTTTACATATCCTGAGGAATCCTCTTTTGGGAAACCGCATTCAAGTATACTATTTTCTCGGACATTGCGGGTTGAGTTTGGGAGCAAAGCTGACCCTCAGCTTTCCATCCCCAAATAAATCTGGCGGCAGACCCGGCTTTCCCAAGACTATTCTTAGCATTAGACTCTCTTTTACAACAAACATTCAGCACTAAAGCCACAGAGCAGAGCTATTTGGCATTTTCCAATGAAGTGCAAGAAATTAAATAAGTTATGTTTTTTATTGCTAAGGTATAGAATCAAGCACAGTCACTTTGTCAAACAGAAGGAAAGGGTATACACAGGATGTGGCCTCTCCTGGGGGTGGGGTGCCCCCGGGGTTTCAAATGCACACAAAACGTCACCTGGTCACACCACCCAGCAGGGAGCAACTTTAAGAGGATGTGTTGAGTATTCTAGAGTCTGAGGAGTCGGACCTCTCGTCATAGTCCTCCTCGGTGTAAATGGACTGCTTCGCCACCATAGGACAGCCATCGTCGGGGATGGAGATGCGGGGGTCCTCGGGGGCGCGCGCGGGGAGGACAGGTGAGCTTCGGAAGACACTGGCCGAGTTAGAGGGGAAGGGGCCCACGTACTGGGACCTCAGCTGGTACTGCTGCTGCAGGGTCATGGTGTTCCACAGGGTGACGTCGCTGGGCAAAAAGGGGCTCGACTGGTTCCTCGCCAAAGTATTCCTCAGCATCAGCGGGTACCGGGGCGGCTGGGGGAAAGGATGCTGCAGGGGCACGGCCAAGGGGTTGGGGACAACGTTACTAGAGTCGGCAGAAAACCTCAGCGTGTCCGGGACCCTGAAGGCCGAGCCCACGGACCACTTGGAGGAGGAGAGGGGGTAGGAGCTCAGGCTGTGTTCAAAGATGTGCCCGTTGGGGGGCAGCACCAGCCCCTCGGGCTCGGCCGCAGTTCGGTCGGCCGCCGCGGACCCCGAGGAGCGGCTAGACAGCAGGACCTCCACGGCGCTCACCAGGTCCCCGCCGCAGCCCTTCAGGATGAGCTCCAGCACCGTGGGCTTCTGGTTGGGGAATATTTTTTTCAACACTTCTAGGGGCGGCCTGTTGGCTTTCAAGCTGAAGGGCAGGGACACCGTCCCCGAGGGGCCCTCGATCAGCAGGTGGTTCTGCTCCGCGTGGTACTTGGGGCTGTCGGGGCGGCTCTCCGGGTTGCCTCCGTTTTTCTGGACCGCGTAGCCCCCTTCGTCCACCGACACCATCTCGGGGCTTTCGGGGGTGAAACAGCCCTTACTTTTGGCCACATCCGGGGAGCTCCTCTGGTCGGCGTCTTTGTCGCTGAAGGTCTCCGTGTTGTCGGCTGAACCGCTGTCCCCCAGCCGTTCTTCCGTCAAATCTGAAAAGCAGAGACAGCTGCGTTAATCCTTTCCTGGTGTGCATAAAGAGGAACAGATGTGCTCGGGCGAGAGCCCCACACAGGCGATGAGGAAGGGGAATGCGACTGGGTGGGTGCCAACACACTGGACGCCTTTATCTTTCTTTCTTTCTTAAGTCATCGCTACACCCAACGTGAGCCTTGAACTCATGACCCTGAGATCAAGAGTCGCGCGCTCTAGGACTGAGCCCGCCAGGCGCCCCCACCCCCTGCCCCCGCCGCCGAAAGCCTTTTAAGAAGAATCCAAACCACCTCACTGGCGAATGTGGGGTTAAAAAAAAAAAAGACTAAACAAAAATCTAGAAACCGGAGTGATTTCTCAGGCTGATGTGCGCAGAGAAGCTTGCCTTGAACACAGAACAGGGATATGATCCCTATAACCATAAATGATGTAGCTGTCATAACAGTGACGATCTAAATAGGGACCCTCTGTAGGTCTAGGAATAAACGCAGTCCAGAAAAGAACGGGAAAATGAGTTTGGGTTTGTCTTCTGGCTCCTTTTCTGCAAATGAGGTGGCTGGTGTCACCTAGGGACACCATCAGCTGGCCCACGACCCATATATCCATAGAAGGGGACTTTCATATTTTAAATCCATTTCCCATATGCAGATTTCGCGTTACATATGTCTTGTGAACTAGTCCTGTGTTTCCTCAGGTTACCATGTACAATCATCAATAGAATTACCAGAAAGAAGCCTCTCTGCATCGATATCTTTCTTACGAAGCCACTCCAGGGACCGACAGACTCCACTCAGGTCGCTTGCAATTTGCACTAGAGGGGCAAGTAGAACGAGCTGTGAATTCTGGATGGTGGGGCAGGTTGCAGGACAGGAAGGAAATGGCTGGAGAGATGTGTCAAACTGCACAGGGGGCATGACCCGTCCATGAAATAAGGCGCCCGTAACTCCAGGACCGTGGGTGTAAAGAGGTGAAACTGTTTCATGAACTGTTTTATTAGTAAGGTTCTTGGAAAGGATTTAAAGATACCTTCTTGAATTATACCAAAAGGAAAGAAAAAGTTTCCCAAATAAAGCAGAGATTTGCTGTGAACCAAAGCAGCTACAAATTTAACATTTTGACCTAAGACATTAGCCCCCAAAGGGCTAGTATTACAGCGCTAAGCACGCAGAAGGGAGTAGACTGGATTTCCTTGCAGTGGGAAACACCAACAGACCTTTCGAAAAGAACATATTCTTTATTAGCATGCTATACGCAGGTAGGTTTTTATCCTTTTGAAAACACTGACTGGCTGTCTCTCCTCAAAGCCAATGTAACTGATCTAAAAATGGAAATTATTAATGACCCAGTTGCCAGGGTGTAAACAATTGGTCAGCCTATGTTTTCTGCTGCTCAGCCTGAATAGCTTCATTGTCGCCTTCTCTGTGGGCACACCTGATTAAATTTAGAAAACCAGCCAGTGAAATTTCATCACAGCACCTTCAAAAATCTTCCTCCTCCAATTTGTTGTTGTTTACTTTAAAAGCCTTAAACAAAGGCCCATTTAGGAACATTTTTCTAATGTGGGATTTATCTTCAATATAATGGAAAAACAAAACGTTGATTCTTCACAAAGCAATACGTATGTGCCAAGCAAAGATAAATGCATTTTAAAATGGGCTTAAACTCTTTATCAGTGCAACTGGCAGTTGTAAGTCTGATACAAATTCACACTTATCCCAAATGTGCATTTTAAGTAAACTACTGCAAGGTTTCTATGTGAGGATCATCTGCAGCCAGCAATATTAAGCCAACTTGGCTTTCTAGAACACCTCTGGGACGTGCAGAAGACCTATTTTTGTAAAAGACATTTGACATCTTCCCTCCTGCAACTCCTCAGGACAAGGGACCCAGAGGTTATCTCCTGAGTGAACCTGGTATTTGTTCTTAATCCAAAAGAGAAAAACAACAACAGAAAAGCTTCTACAGATCCACATTCTAATCAGCTAGACCTAGCTACATTTTCCTGACTCATGACCCCATGCGTACCTCTTGGCAGTTACTCTGTTATTAAACACTTGAAAATGAGTGTACAGGGTCCGTGCGTTCACCCATCACTGACCTCAACACACAATTGGACTTCTGACCCTGCTCAGTGGAGCTTGGAGAAACAAGTCAAAGACACGCCCCAGGTAAATATAAAAGTATGCTTTAAATACCGTGTACCTCTAAACAGGGTTTTTAGATTTAACTTCAGCTTTCCTTACCTATTCTTATCAGTGTCAAGTATTTGTATCCCTGTACTATGCAAGATATTGAAGGAAACAGAAAAAAAGGAGGTGAAAAATACCAGGAAGTTTAAGACTGGTCCTAAACTTGTGGGATTTATTATCTCGTTGGGCAGATAAGATGGATGTGCACGGAGAAAAGGAAACACAGCCAGAAAGAACTTGCTTCCTATCCAACAGGATACACACTGTACACAAAGGTTCATAGGAGCATCATCTCCAACAGCCTAAAGGTGGGAGCAACTCAGGTGTCCATGGATAAAGAAAATGTACATACATACAGTGGAATAATTAATCTCAAAATGGAATGAAATTCTGACACATGCTATGATGGGGACGAACCCTGAAAATATGCTAAGTGAAATAAGTCAGCCACAAAAGGACAAATATTCTATGACTGCACTTAGATGAGGTACGTAGAATAGACAAATTCACAGAGACAGAAAGTGGAATGATCGTTAGGGGCTAGGGTGGGGGGGAGAGGGACTGAGACTTAGTGAGTCACAGGTATAGGGCTTTCAGATGATGAAAAAGCTCTGGAAATGGACAATAGGGGTGGTGGTACAACATTGTGAATATACTTAATGCCACTACATTGTACCCCTAAAAATGGTTAAAATAGTAAATTTTATAGTATATATATTTTACCACAATTAAAAAAGAGAGAGATAGAAAGAAATACGACACACAGTATCAAAGCAGTGTAAGAGATGGTTTTTTTTTTTTTGTTTTTTTTTGTTTTTTTGGAAAGGAAGACAAACAATTGGTTCTTCTAGGAAATAAAAGGTACAACTAGGAAGCTCAAAACTTAGCTGTTTTTTAAATGAGTGAACCTAAAGATGGCTTCCTATTTTAAAAGATAATTCTTCTCAGGGTGTCTGGCTGGCTCAGTCCATGGAGCATGTGACACTTGATCTCCAGGTAGTGAGTTCAAGCCCCACATTAAGGGTAGAGTTTACTTTAAAAAAAATAAAATTAAAAAAAAAAAAAGATAATTTTCCCCACCCTGGATGCACTGCAAACACTGAAAACATTTGTGGAAAATGTGTGGAGGTCTATCACCAAATTCACTCTTCCACAGAACACTCCAGAAGAAAGTGATTCAAAGAGCAGAGGTTCAGCCAGAGAATGATGTTCTGGCAAATCTGACACATCTACCATTATGAAAATGTATTGTTATTATTTTTTTTTCAAAATGGCAAAGGATATACTATCCCAATCCACTGGAGCCTGGATGTCAGGACTCCAAATCTGACAATACAACATTCCACCTTGGTACCTATGTGTCTGTTCTGCAGACGAGGCCACAACAGAATCTTATATGGCGGCCAGCCTTGTTCACCAGCTGGGAACCCCCAGACTGCAAAAACCCCTGCCTGTCTGATTTTCGTGCGTTCCCCGTTGCCCCTGCTATGGTGGCATGCCCAGAGCAGCACGTGTTTCTGGTTACTTCTCAGGGAGGGGTGGTAGTGGATGGTGCTGACTCATCCATACTCTCTTCTCAGGTTTCGGGGTAATCGGCCTCTCCAGCTTGGTGTCCAGGCTATGGCCACATGGTAAAGAGGCTAAGCGGTGTCCCAGGAATCAAATCTACAAATTCAGGGCATTCCAAGCGACTGGGCTCAGTACTGCTCATTCTGTGTTCAAAGGGAGGACAGAAGACCTTGAAGGAACCGAGGAGTAGGGCACAGCCAAGGCTTTTGTGCACCTGAGCAGCCCATGAAGTCTTGCCCCAGACTGTCCGGTGAGCAGAATCCCTCTCCACAGCCCAGGCTGTTGGGGTTGCAAACCTGGACAAGGGAAGACTAACCTCTCACCTTGTGCCAAGAATCCTTCATCACCATCTTAATTTCTGAAGGGCAGAGTGTGGAGCCTGTGCGATTTTGTGGCACGCTCTACCTTGGTTGTACTGTTGTACCTAAACTAGATGTACTGTACATTATTCTATAAATACAGACTTTCACAAGTAATTATAGGGGGTGGGTTTCGAGCGCAGTGATAACGTGTAATTTAATAACAGGCGTTGCTTTACATCTCTAGGTTTTATTTTCCTAAATGAACTTTATAAAATGTTCATGTTGGTTTAAAACACAAAGGCCTTTCTAGATACAGAAATGTGACGCTGCCAACCAACAGAATGAAAAGGGAAATAGTCCCCGAAACACTTTACCCTCTTTCTTCTGGAAACTGACACCCTAATTCCTAGAACACAGGGAGTAAGAATATACTCCAGTTGATAACATTTTTACCCCCTAGCATATGGGTGCAGAAAGCCAGACCTACTAGTCAAAAAGTAGAAAGAAATCAGTTGCATCTGAGATTCCAAATCACCTATTGAAAGTGATCCAATCTGCTGTTTCTAATGCTTAAGCATTCAGCTATTTGAAAAATCTTACTACTCACTCTTCAAGTTCATATTTTTCATGATAGAGAAATATTCCTAGCCACCAATGAACTAAACCCTTCGCTCAGGTCAAAGTATGTAAAAGAAGTAGATATTCGATTAAGAAGAAAATTTTTTCTATCAACAATAATGCTACCAACTTCAAAAAACACATAAGCCTGAAGACAGCTAACTACAAGACTTCTTTTTCCCTTTGGCTACAGACTAAGGAGGGGAACTGAACACTCACACAATCTAAAACTAGTTTGCAAAATCTTTCCTCCTTTAGAAGACTTTTTTATATGAAAATGTAGTTCTATATTTAAAAAGAAAAAACCCTAGGTATTCATTT